CATCCTTCGGTGCAACCCGTGCACCGAATGAATATCAATCGCAGATTAAATATTCATACCAGCCGCGTAAACCATTTAAACTGCAGCTCGTAAAAATAATGAATGAGAGCTCCTCTGTCAGATTGTGCTCGCGCGAGTCGAATTCATGATATGCGGTTTCACCCTTTCGATTGGCTCTTTCATGGACCGTTACGCTGAACGGACAGGCGTCGATAAATGTTGAACGTAGGTGCGCTTGTGTGAATGACGGTAAGTCAAAACCACTATTGATACCTGAAAATAGAGAATTTGAAGGTGTCTGAAATTTGATTAAATTCCGTGTTTAAGTGGAAACTACTGAGTGAACTGAACACGAAAATACTCTTGGTTCACGAATCGAACAATTATTGGAGAGGATAGACAAAATGATCTAATCTGCTAAAATATACGTGTGTTTAAATGGGAAATGCCGTCAGATGACGTCACTAGGCGATACATTTCCTCAATTTTGAATCTATTTTTATACTATTTCCCATATCGGCAAGAAACTACAACAAATACTGTGAAATCAGCTCTTTAAGCACTTCCAGATGAAGCAATAAAAAATTTGCATGCAAATTCTCCATTCATACTGACCCTCAAAAATAAATTTCTTATTTTGGGAACCCGTGGTGCGGAAGAAGTTGGTAAAATATCTCGTATCCATATGATGGTATATGAAAAATCAATGGAGAAATGTTATCCACATATTTGCAAAGTTGCGTAATTTTTGTGACATAGTGGTTCCTTGTTGCAAAATGTAATCCATTTGAAACTTCTTAAAACTTAACTGAAAGGAAAAGAACCCTGCGCCCAAACGAAGTGATCAGGAGGTGGTTCAAGGATTTTTAAGTAAAATCTGGATTGTCGTTCAAAATTCAAGGTTAATCAAGAACCTGAAAATTCAAAAGAGAAGAGGATAAATAATCGAGGATTCTCTGAGAATTTCCAGAGAGGAAATTTTGAGAATTTCTAATCCGCTACGAATTTTGCACTATTATCCGGGTCCAAGGTAAGATGTGTGAGAAACATGAATCAAACGCAAAATTACCGAAGTCTCTGTGGTCATTTCTCAAAACACAAATGCTTTAATACTTTACACTTTAAGAGAGGAGTTCTTATTTTGACGCACTGAGGAAAAAATATGGTAGATTTTACCATACTCTGGCAAAGTGATCCGCATATGGTAAATGAACACTAGGTTCTATGGTAGCATCTACCATACTACAATAAGTATCACCAGAGTTCTGGTGAATACTGCTATAATTCTGGTCATTTCCACAAAATAATACCATTGTGTAAAAAATCAAGTGGACGTTACCGCACTTTTTTCGTAGCGAATATGATTCGAATAGACGGGAAGGCTAAAAGAACTACGATAATTGGATTACATTTTGCAATTAGGAACTGTAGTTCCTACGGCTCCGTTTAGAAACAACATATCGACGGTGTACGTCGGCAATCACATGACTCGGTTTGCGACGTCGCAGACTTCCTGTCATACTTCATTTTATAACGGAAAACTACTCAACGGCAATTCTTTGAAACTGTCGTGATTTTTCTTCCCTGTGCGAAGAAAATTCTGCAAAAACTTCAAGGAATCATGTCAATTTGTTCTCCTTTGAAAAAATAACATCGAAGCGGAGATTTTCAGACGCCGCAAACGAGTTATGTGATTGCCGACTTACACCGTCGATGTGTACCATTTGTTTTCCTATACACATGAGTGTTTTTAAAAATGAGCCAGAAATTGGACGGAGTTAAACAGAAAGGAACCAAGCCACATCGGGATCGAACCGAGAAAAAGAGGCTTAAAGTTTAGCTCCTGCATAAGACTCAATGTAAAAGATAAACTTCAAGTTTAATTTCTGCAAAATTTGCTCCAACAAGAACTTCGAATTTTTAGCGATAGATGGTAGAGCAGTGGTTGAGTTCAAAACCACTCATAACTCAATTTTTTCCAAAATGTGGGTTGGTTCCTTTCTGCCTAACTCAGTCCAATTATACTTCCGAATTGCAAAACGTAGTCCAATTAGTAGCAGAACAGTTCAAACAGATTCCAGAACACACTGAACAAAAATTCTCGGCGTTTTTACCAAGGTCCGTTGGTACCTTTACCATCTCACTTTTTTTACCATTTATTGGAAATTTTACCAAGACAGACTGGTAAGTTTACCCAAAAACCGGTATTTTTACTGTTTTTTTTTTCAGGGGAAAATACCACTTTTATTGGTAATCAATTCCCGATAACTTTACCATTTTATCTTGGTAATTCTACCACAGTCGATAAAAAATATTGGCGTTTTTACTGGGGTCCAGTAAAATTACCGAGAAAGTCGATAATTTTACCGAGATTTCTCGGTAAAATTACCAATTCCATAAATGATAATTTTACCAAGAAAAAACTGGGATCAAATAGAACCCTGAATTCTTGGTTATTTTACCCTACTCTTAGTAAATACACCGAGATTTTTTTTTCAGTGCATGATTATCATTGAGACTGTGGCATTTTCCCTTTTTCTGCGGCAACGCTGGCTGGAGCGCGGGGCGGTGTTTATCGGGACCGAATTAATTCCCGATTCCGCGATTCATATGTTAATACTGCGTCACCGTGCACCGGTGCCCCGATTTTCGGATTCCCGTCGGAATCGTTGACACGCTCCATTATTTCACCATTCATCTTTTTAATTGCCCCGCGCCAAGCCGGCCCGTCGATTGCTTCCCCGGCCGGGGCCCCTAACTGCCCTTGCTCTTGTGCATGTTAAATTTGCCCGCCACTCGCCGACATAGTTGCCGGATCGGTCGAAAAATCTTTATCGGGCGTAGCGGGTGATAACTCAAAATTTTCCAGGAATCTGGCAATTTGGATGATCAGTTAGGAAAAAACCCGGGAAATTGGAGGAGATGCGTCGAGGAAATTGTAAATGAAACTAAATTGCTCACTGACTCAGGGTGAAATTAAATTTTCGGAACTTCATGTGAAACAGATCATGAAATTTCAGAAATTTCAAACTGTGAAAATTGTGCCTTTCTTCTATTTTTTCGTGATTGAGTGCGGGTTGCATACTTTAGCCCCTAAAAAATATAAAATATTTCACAGCCTCGAGAAAATTCATGAAATATTTCAATGAAATTTTCAATCTTTGATGTCTTTCTTACGTTTCATGCCATCATCCACTGATTACAGGGGAATGAAAGCATGCGAAAGCATTCTGTTTATACAGTAGTGCTCACAGGAAAAACAGGACGCAAGGTTGCTTGAGTAAATGGGCATTTTCTATTAATTGTGGAAGTACTTCAAATTAATTGTGGTATACCTATACAGATTCCTGATTCCTACATTGTAACCTCAAAGCGCAGAAGAGGTGGTACTGCGGACGAATCAAAAGGAAGTGAGTAAGTGAAGTGAAGAGACAATTGAAGAGGTATGCAAATTTTTAATTAAAATATAGTAATACTAGCCGTTCTGGACGCGCTTCGCGCGTCCGTCACGGCCAGGCAAGGGGCTGCGCCCCCTGGATCCCCTATATAATAATGCGCGAGAATAATGAAGATAATGTAATGAGCAATAATAATGTTTGTTACTTTGCAGTTATGCGGTAAATACTGATACCATTTCTATCAATTCAGTGCCCAAGATCATAGATAATTATTCTTGACGAAAAATTCTTTTAATTTGATTGATCTAAATCCTCCATTGTGAAATGAAACTGAATGGACGGAAGTAGGTGAGGGTATGCTACTGTTCCGAGTTTCTTCCCTTTTGATCGTTGCACAGAACAATAAGTGAACATGTGCATGGTTGATGTGCCTCAAACGTCTTTTGTGAAGTAATGACCAATACCTTTTGTCCGAGATGACCCCTTAACTACAATAAGTAAAGAGCTTCTTCTAGCCGTTCCTAACATGTCTACCAATAATTCTTGAACAAGGTTACAAATGAAAGAAGATAATAACATTTCCACTAATTTTTCTAGTAAAATATTATAAATGAGAGAATAAAATTTCACCCCAAAATACGCTGAAGGCCGTACTCATTTGCGAAAATAATATAACAAATTGACCTTTTTGATACTGAGTTACTGAGGTTTTCTGGGTCCGTCGTTTTTATTCGCCGAGTTCCCAGATGTGGATTTAGCAATTTGGCAACACCGGAAGTCCTCCATCCAAATCTATGTTAAATAATCGATTCTTGTCGGAGCACTTGGCCCCTCTAAGAATCGATATATTTCCATAGGTTTTATAATGGAGAAAGAAAACGTTGCCAATTTTCTGGATCCGCCAATGGCTCCATTATTGGGGTACACGGCTCGTGGGGCCAGAACTTTAAGTTCTTTTTCGCAAAGGTTATAATCAACACAAGCTAAGGTTTTTTGTGGAGAATAATTCATTAAGAATGATAGAACAGATCTCTTTGTCACGAAAGAGGAAATAATGCCTAAAAACCGATTCATGACTTGCGAAATGATGAGTGCATTCCAGGTGCATTTTTGGAGTGTTTCACATGAAATCTCTAAGATAACCTTGCACTTTCACGCGAAGAATTTTTTAATCGGACAAAAACACCAGTGGCTTGGCGTGAATTGCGATGTATCGATTGTTATGCCATTTAAACTTATAGTAAAGAATCGATTATTAAGGTGTTCGCTGCGAACACCCTGTTTATCGATCCTTTTCCATAGGTTTAAATGGCATAACCATCGATACATCGCATTTCACGCCACGCCACTGAAAAACACCCATAACACCTTTGTGAAGAGAAACTAGGCATATGCATCAAGGCCTAGATCAAGTAATGAGAGGGATAATCACGTCTGGGGAGGCATAGTCAAACGTCAAGCATTTTTTTCCGATTCGGAAAACTCTTAATGCAGTTGCAAAACAGCTGTTCATTAATTCATTTTTTGTGTGGGTCGCGTCATGGAGAAAGAAAGTCAAAACTACGACTGTTTCCTGTAAGTTAAATTCGGGAGCCCTTTATGAGCCCACTTTGATACGACCCATGTCACTTGATCGATGGCCGGTCTCGATGGAAGTGGTTTAGTTAAAACGTTTTAGCGTCTCTTAGTTTTTGGCACGTAATGATTTCGCTAAAGCACCTGGTCGCCCTAGACCTCTTTATTACATGCTCAGTTTTGTGCAACGATGAAAAAAGTAAGTTGTTCCTTCATTCACTCATCTTCCACCTCATCGTAATACATTTTTGTACATACCCATTAAGATTATTCCGCGATAATATTAAAAGCAATGAGAATGATTTAAAAAGGTTCACAGATTTTAAGTTGAACATCACCATTGTAAGAGCAGGCAATGAAAAAAACCGAGGTATTGCGAACGTTTCGAAAGCTTCAGTGAAGGAACGTACACAATACCTCGGCTTTTTCATTACCTGCGATTCATGGGTAGGCAATGATAAAAATTAGAAACTGCTGTTTTAATGTAAATGAAAACCTGGATTTTAATCTTAACTGATAAAATGATCAAGTTCAGTATTGTGAATGATAGAAGTCGAGATATTCTATGCATAATAAATACTGGGAATGAATGATATTGAAATGGTGCAATCATTGAACCCGTGTCGTCACCTCTTTGAAATCTGAATTTCTACCGAAACTTGAGAATAGATCCATAAGGACCGTGAAAATTCTGTGATCGGATTCTTACCAAAAGAAAGAAAAAGTTTCCATTTGAACATTTTTGCAGGATACCTCCTGAAGCACTGCACTCAGCTATGGCTAATAAACCGAAAAGTGGTTCAAATGGAACACCTCTAATAATAGTAAAGATACCATATAATAATAATAATAATAATAATAGCACATACACATACTACCTTGGTAATGGTATATATCGACGGTGTTAGTCGGCAATCACATAACTCGGTTTGCGACGTCGCAGACTTCCTGTCATACTTTATTTTTTAAATGGAAAACTACTCAACGGCAATTCTTTAAAACTCTCATGATTTTTCTTCTCAATGCAAAGAAACTTCTGCAAAAACTTCAAGAAATAATGTCAATTTGTTCTCCTTTAAAAAAATGACGTACAGGCGGAGATTTTCAGACACCGCAAACGAGTTGTGTGATTGCCGACTTTCACCGTCGATATATACCTTATAGTATGTTACGAGATACCTTAGTATGGTTCACAGATCGAGAATCATTAGTTTATTTACGACCATTAGTGGTGTTCCATATGAACCACTAATTGTTTTATAAAGCCATTGATTTTTCTCCCTATGGTACGTGAAGCTTCACTTTGATTTTCTTCAGCACCATGCAGGGCATATTTCCTCGCGGACGGTCAGAAGTCGACAATGGCTTAACAGACACATGGATAACATGAATACGGGTTTTTTACTTGTATGGAGTGCAATAAAATACAATCCACGCGTTAATTTCCTTTTTAGATATTATCGCTAGTTTTGATAGGAATTGAGAGGTTTCGATAAGGGCCGTTCTTGGGTCCACCTTTGCTAAATTTTTTCATGTCTACCATTATTTTTCATCGAATATCTATGTATTTTACGGATTGTATCATAATTTGTTCGTTTTCGGACTTTTTTCGGGTTCAATACTGAAACATGGGTCTTGAAGCCCAACTCTGGAGAAAAGTGCACGGGTTTGCGATCGAATGCCGGAAAATCGGCCGTTAGACCCGTGTTCCGGCCAATTAGCCCTAAAAAGAGACCGAAAATGATCAAATAATGATGCATTATGTAAAATACAGACCTAAATGAGCATTAAGGGTAGAGTCGTCAAAATTCAAAGGGGGCCCAAAAATAGTCCTTATCGATACCCCTCCTTTCCAGAGAATACGATTAAAAAGGGAAAAAATATCACACACAATTCCGTGCAGTGATAATAACGAGCCATATTCCTAAAAAAATTACAAAAAAATTGCGAAATACCACACCGAAACAGAGATAATGGTCCAGTCGCAAACTGTTGCTAGAGCAAAAATAAGAGTTGTTTCTATCAGTAAATGTCGCAAAAATCACGATGAGCGCATTGGCAAAGTTTGAAATGCACTCCTAACTTCACAATCTGCGTGAGAAATTGGCGCTTTTTGGAGCTTCCCGCTTCAAGAACGATACTACGGCACAGGTGAACATTTGGTTAGAGGTTTCGTTCTATTCAACCCCTGAGCACTAGGATACTTCACGATATTCAATATGGCTGACACCAATCCGCCAAAACACATGTGCCTAGACGAGATTACAAGAATTTTTTAAAAACCCAGCGTGCTTACATTCACAATTTCTTCGCGTTGATAAAGATCCGTTTTGGTCTTGTGCTCCCGATTCCGATTTGCGTGCGGAAACGTCGGCTATGTTGAGTGTTGCTATTGCGAAAGGGGTGAATGGAACGACTCCGCTAACGATTTGTTCACCTGTGCCGTAGTATCGTTCTTGAAGCGGGAAGCTCAAAAAAGCGCCAATTTCTCACGCAGATTGTCAAGTTAGGAGTGCATTCCAAACTTTGCCAATGCGCTCATCGTGATTTTTGCGACATTTACTGATAGAAACAACTCTTATTTTTGCTATAGCAACAGTTTGCGACTGGCCCATTATCTCAGTTTTCGGTGTGGTATTTCGCACTTTTTTGTATGTCTTCAGGGATGGCTCGTGATCCTCATTGCACGGAATTTTTTGTGATATTTTTGCCTTTTTAATCGTAATCTCTGGAAAGGAGGGGTATCGATAACGACTATTTTTGGGCCCACTCTGAATTTTGACGACTCCACCTTTCATGCTCATTTAGGTCCGTATTTTACGAAATGCATCATTATTTGATCATTTTCGGTCACTTTTCGGGGCTAATTGGCCTAAGGGCCAATTTATCGGCATTCCACCGCAACCTAACCTAACTCTTATTTTTGCTGTAGCAACAGTTTGCAACAAGCCGATCAGTTTCGAAGTTTAATCATCGAAATGTATCTTAGCGTACTGATCGATTTCAGAGCCGAGGCCTCGGACACCCTGGGAGTGCAACGAGTGGTGTCACACGGAATTAGGATGCATCCACGATGAAGCGCCATGGGGTTTGCAATGGGTCGCAAACGGGGAACTAGGAAAGAAGTGCCAGTGCCAATTCGACCCGGCATTTTTGGAATATTTGGAGAGCTGGGGGATAAACTATCATTCGCCTATAATACGAAAACTTCGAAAAAAGGGGACTCAGGAAGTTAAGTCATCGTTGGAAAAATGGGAAATTCCAGTGACTCATGATTGCGAAAGTACAGCTCAGTCTCTCATCGAGGAGAAGCATAAACACCATATTCCAGGTGAGTCCCTGCCGTATATTGAGTGATTAAAGCTGCGATGACCTGGCTACATCTGCTAGCTGTCTTTTTAAGTGTAAACTACAGTAAAAAAATCATGTTTCACCTACAAATACTACTAACATCAATTCAAATCACTCTTTGTTTTACGCCCCTGCTGATTTTTTACTGTCTTCCTATGTACAACATTAGATCAAGATTTTTCGGTTTTCGACCCATTGCAAACCCCATGGCGCTTCATCGTTGATGCATCCTAATTCCGTGTGACACCACTCGTTGCACTCCCAGGAGGTCCAAGGCGTCGGCTCTGAAATCGATCAGTACGCTAAAATACACTTCGATTATTAAACTTCGAAACTGATCGGCTTGTTGCAAACTGTTGCTACAGCAAAAATAAGAGTTAGGTTAGATTGCGGTGGAATGCCGATAAATTGGTCCTTAGGCCAATAATTAGCCCCGAAAATGATCAAATAATGATGCATTTCGTAAAATACGGACCTAAATGAGCATGAAGGGTGGAGTCGTTAAAATTCAGAGGGGGCCCAAAAATAGTCCTTATCGATACCCCTCCTTTCCAGAGGTTACGATTGCAAAGGCAAAAAATATCACGAAAAATTCCGTGCAATGATGATAACGAGCCATCCCTGAAGACATACAAAAAAGTGCGAAATACCACACCGAAAACTGAGATAATGGGCCAGTCGCAAACTGTTGCTATAGCAAAAATAAGAGTTGTTTCTATCAGTAAATGTCGCAAAAATCACGATGAGCGCATTGGCAAAGTTTGGAATGCACTCCTAACTTGACAATCTGCGTGAGAAATTGGCGCTTTTTTGAGCTTCCCGCTTCAAGAACGATACTACGGCACAGGTGAACAAATCGCTAGAGGAGTCGTTCCATTCACCCCTTTCGCAATAGCAACACTCAACATAGCCGACGTTTCCGCACGCAAATCGGAATCGGGAGCACAAGACCAAAACGGATCTTTATCAACGCGAAGAAACACTTTCTGTCCGATTAGTTTGCCTACGATTGTTCCCAGGTTTTTTTCCAAATTTAAACTTGAAAAAAAATCTTATCATTCAAATAATCTCGTGTAAGATGAAGCATTTATTTTAAATCTGTCGACTACGTAGTGTCGTTTTCTGCGCTGAGTTCGTTTTTATCCTTTGAAAATGTATGCATTTACTTTTGTGATCAATTTTGGCGATTTCCCTCACTTTCAGTTTTTTTTTTTTTTCTTTACTAAATGAGCTTCGATCAAAGCCACACCTTGAAAAAAAAATTAATAAATAAACTAGACGCTATGTGTGTAATTTCACTTTACCCGCTGATTACAAACAGTTCCGATGAGATATTTTGCATGCGAGAATCCTGCGGTATCAAGACTATCTGTTCATTTCCGACCGAATACTGTAGCTGCAAATCCGAGGAGCGTTAATACAATTGATTCGATTGTGCCAAAGCTTGTCATCCATTATCGATACATTCGGACGCACAGTTACAAACCAGTGGCGTGGCGTACTTTGCGATATATCGATTGCTCTGTCATTTAAACCTATGGAAAAGGATCGATAAACGAGGTGTTTGCAACGAACACCTTAATATTCGATTTGTTACCACGGCTTCAATGGGGAAACATCGATAGTCGATTGTTCACGGAACAGTTTCCTCTTGCCGCTCCCTCCTCCTATGCAAATTAAAACCATTCGTTTTTACGACCGAGCAATTTATTAATGTTTCCACCGTGGGTATACTTGGATAGTTAGCTATGCGAGTCTTTAGTGACGCTCTTCTTTTGATGAGGTTGTAGATGGGTGTTATTGATGGGATCGAGGGTTTGCTGCGCTTTGTGCATTGTGCAAGCTGGATGATTAAAATTCACGCCGCCTCGTTTGGGACAAGGTCGGAAGTTGTCGGAAACCTTCGGCCGGGAAGTGAAAAAAGAATGGTATTAATGAAAATATATTCTTCTGAAGCTCTAATAGTGTACCTAAATACAATTTTAAATTAAAACAAGTTAGCATCGCTTATATTTTAATTTTTATTCGACTTAAATGTATATTTCATCTAACTTAAATAAGTCTCAGCCACGGGGAAAAAGAGGTGGGGGTTAAGACCCAACTTGGGCATTCCCATTTAATTGTGGTAGTACCCAATTAAATTAGGCTACTAACCAAAGTGCTGCGCTACAACCACAATTTAAGGCGATAACCCATGACACATTTTTTCCGTGCAATTTAAATGATTTTAAGTATCTTTAATACCGTTACTAAAAACAGTAAATAACTTGGTGTTCGAGACAGAAAAAAAAAATTGTTCAGAGAGGATAAAAATACTTTCTCTGCTTTGAATGCAAATATAATATGTAGAGTGTTATGACTTTAAAGGCACGGAAGATGACTCATTGCTGAAAAGTGACATAATACGCACACTGACTGACACCATCTCTACTTGGAGCAACAATACACAATGATTCAAATGAAAGTGACGCAGATTCGAATTATTTCAAGCTCGTTTCAGAAATGTTTCCGAAAGTAAAGATGTTTGAAACTCTCAAGTTATTGATGTAAGTCGTTTATCGAGACAGGCAGCTAAAGGCGACAGGCAGAAAGGTGCATCATTGTGCCGAGCTTTAGCGCTAACGAAATTTTCAGAAAAACACACATACATATAAGTCGCTTTACAGCACTCCCTCGCGCTTTACGACTCCTAACTTCCACTGGTCTCTTGAAGCGGAAATTTTCAGAAATTACTTTTTTTTTTCCAGCTCCCACCTCCTAAGCAAATTCTGCCTTCCTCCCCCTTGGATGTGGCTGAAATGAAACCACTGCCGTGTAGAAACACCGAATATTTCCGTGACAATTTGATGTTAACCTCAAAGTGGTAAATTTGTATAAAGAAAGATGTGCTGGTAAATATCCGTGCGGGGCACATTGGATCGAGTCAATTAGAGAGGTCGGACATGAAAGGACCCCGCACACCTCTTATGGGAAGCTGCACCACGACCGATTGCCTTCTGACTTATGTATTTCGATTCTCCTCAAAAAGCTGATCAAAAGTTATAATTTCGCCAACTTTCTACGATGCACCGTCTTCGCAAAAAATCAAGGAGAAGGCAATCGGTCGTGGTGCAGCTTCCCATAAGAGGTGTGCGGGGTCCTTTATGACAAAAACTGCAAATGTTTAATTCGTCACATTTCAAATTTTAAGTGGTGCTTCTAGAATAAAATTTTACGAGGAAACCAATGGAACCACTTTTATGATATCAAATTGCTGTATGAACGGAGTTATGAGCTTCTATAGTTTCCAAATCTCATCCGACCTCTTTCATTGACTCGATCCACTGGTGGGGGGGAGGAGGGATCCAATGATTCGCAGACCTGTGATGCATACGTTCCCCTCAAAGTGCATTTTAATAAATTGCACGCAAAAATCTCGTTATTTCTCGCTCGCGTTGTTCCGCGGAGTATGAGAACAATCTGTCTGGCTGGGGGGGGGGGGGGGGGGGAGAGGGAGGAGGACGTGAAAAAATCATCGATTCCCCGTAATTTACCGGCGTAACCGGGTGTTATTTGTTATCCGATCCGCGAGTGGGTTTGAGAGCAAATAAATAGTGTAAAAGGGAGTGAAATAATAAGACGCATGGACAGGAGTGCGGGACGTCCATCTAATAAATTACTAGAGGTGCATCGTCACTGATTTATTTTCCCCGGTTCTCCGGCCGTCGGAACAGGGAAGTTCGTGCACCCCTTTTCGTTTACCCCCTTCGGCGGATGGGGGTGGGGGGATACTCTCTTTATAATTGAAGCATGTTGGATGGAAAGGGCACAAGGGCGCCTTTTTTGACGAGACTGAGATAATATCACCGCTAGACGGTAGTTCCTAAACCGCGACATAATATTTGGGGTCTACGGGGTAAATGGGTCCAACAAACTCTTGATAATGGACCACTAGACAAGGTACTAGTTTAAGCTTTCTGATACATGTTTCTTAACCAGAATTTCACGTGGAGCACAACTCGCGCAACGAAAATTACTGAAACAAACTCCTAAAAAAGATATTAACCTTTTTATTTCTTAATGGTTACGCGGATTTTGAACTGCCCGCTCACAAGAAACTCAAAGCTCTACGTGAGTCAAATCGCGCACTACAATGGTTTCAGAAAGCTTCTCAATCGAGCAATGTTCATTTCCCACCATGTGTTGTTCAAACTATAAGCAATTTGCTATAGCTGAGCCAAAGCGTCAGGATTGAGGTTGCCAGATTTTCATATCGCTGAGACGTTTATGATAACGTTTAGCGCGCGATGTGAATCACGTAGAGCATTGAGTTTTCATGAGCGGGTGGTTTGAATTCACGCATCAAGAATCATTAAATATCTTCGTAAGGAGTTGATTTCGGTAGTTTTTGTTGTGCGTATCGTGTTCTACGTGAAATTTTGGTAAGGAAACATGTATCAGAATGCTAAAATTCGTACCTTGTCTATTGGTCCATTGCCATCATTTGGACTAAGAAGACAAAAAAAGAATTCACCACGGAAAAAAATCAGGTAGCATTTACCATGTCGACGGTGCAAGTGGTCAATCACATAACTCGTTTGCGGTGTCTGAAAATCTCCTATGTTATTGTTTTAAAGGAGAACAAATTGACATCATTCCTTGAAGTTTATTATGCAGAATTTTCTTCGCACAGAGAAGAAAAATTACGGCAGTTTTAAAGAATTGCCGTTGAGAATTCTGTTTAAAAAATAAAGTATGACAGGAAGTCTGCTACGTCGCAAACCGAGTTATGTGATTGCCGACCTACACCGTCTATATTCTGGTTAATATAGGGCACAACCAGAGAGTATGCTAACTTTCATCAAAATTATCGTGAAAGTAAAATGATTTTTCCTCTTTGTGACAATAATTTTGGTGGAAGTCACCATACTGTCTGCTTGCGCCGTTTTTTAACCAGAGGATGGTGAATGCCAACCAATTTTTTTCCGTGAGGGGCTTGGA